AAGGAAATGAATCCTTTGGACATGCTTTGTTGAGACCCATATAGTCTACTCACATCCTCCATTTCCCGCTCTTCTTTCACACAAGAACGAGATTAGCTAACCACTCTAGGTGGTGTACTTCCCTGATAAATCTAGCCGCTAATAGTTTTGCTATCTCTTCACCGATGGCCCTGCGCTTCTCCTTGTTGAAGCGACGTAGGTGTTGTTTCACTGGCTTGGAGCCTGGACGGACCTTCAAGGTATGCTCGGCGACCTCCCTCAGAATGCCCGGCATGTCCGAGGGTTTCCACGCAAAGATGTCTTTGTTGCCACGGAGGAAGTCAACGAGCGACTTTTCCTATTCGGAGGAAATTGTGGTGCCAACGCGTACCGTTTTACCCTCGGAGCTGCCGGGATCTATGAGGACTTCCTTGAACCCTCTGCCGATTCGAACGACCCAGTTGATTTCTTTGCGTCGAGCGCTTCTTTGGGGACCTCCTCCTTGAGGGCCGCGAGTTCCCCGGAGACGACGATTGCTATAGCGTGGCCACAGCACTCGACCTCGCACTCGTAGGCCCGCTGGAAGGAGGTGCCGATGGTGATGACCTCATGGGGGCCCGGCATCTTCAGCTTGAGGTATGTATAGTTGGGGACGGCCATGAACTTTGTGTAGCATGGTCGTCCTAGGATGGCGTGGAAAGTTCTAGGGAACCCAACCACCTCGAAGGTGAGGGTCTCAGTCCTATAATTGAACTGATCCCTGAAGGGGACGGGTAGATCGATCTATCCCGGTGGCATGGCCTATTTCCCAGGCACGATATTGTGGAAAGGTGCTAGGGTTGGGCGGAGGTTCGTCTGGTCGACGCCCATCTCGTGGAGCGTCTTTGTGTACATGATGTTGAGGCCACTGCCTCCGTCCATCAGTACTTTGGTGAGTCGCTTTGGACCAACGATTGGGTCGACCACAAGCGGATATCTCCTCGGGTGTGGGATGGTATTGGGATGGTCAATCTGATCGAAGGTTATGGCGGATTCCGACCACCGAAGGAAGGGAGGTGTGGCCGGTTGGGCCGTGTAGACTTCGCGGCGTGTGATTTTCTGACGGCGTTTGGAGTCGTAGGCCATCGAGCCCCCGAATTTCATAAGGTAGCCATCCGGCGTTGGAAAGCCGTCGTCCTTCTCCTCGGCGTCGTCCGCAATGGGGGAAGGGTCTTTCCCCTGCCCCCTTTGTTGGAGCTTCCGAACAAGAACTTCCGCATGAGGCTGCAGTCCTTGAGCAGATGCTTCATGGGGAAGGCGTGGTTCGGGCACGGCCCCTCAAGTAATTTTTTGAAGTGGTTCGGAGTGCCCTCCGTGGGCTTCCGTCCACCCTTGCGGTCAACAGCGGCCATGAGAGAGTCCTCGCATCGTTGCTTCTTGTTCTTCCTTTTGGCAGAATGATTAGAGGTGCCTTCGTCGGCACCTTCATCTCGCCTTGCCTTGCCTTGCCATTGAGGCGATCGAAGATTGCTCCAACCGCATCTTCTCCTAAGGCATGGCTAGTGGCGATGTCCAGGAGTTCCTTGGTGGTTCGTGGGCCCTTGCGTCCCAGCTTATGAACCAAGGATTCGCAGGTCATCTCGGACAGGAAGGCTCCTATCACGTCGGTATCGGCGACGTTAGGGAGCTCGTTGCACTATCGAGAGAAGAGTTAGATGTACTCGCGGAGGGTCTCACCGGCCTTCTGACGGCAGTTCTTGAGGTCCCACGGGTTCCTAGGGCGCTTGTATGTGTCCTAGAAGTTTCCCACAAAGATCTCCTTCAAATCCGCCCAACTCTAGATCGTGTTGGATGGTAGGTGCTCCAACCATGCTCACGTCGAGTCGGCCAAGAATAGTGGGAGGTTGCGGATAATGAAGTCATCATTATCCGCACCACCGGCTTGATAGGCAAGCCGATAGTCTTCAAGCCAAAGTCCAGGATTTGTCTCCCCAGAGTACTTAGGGATATTGGTAGGTGGTCGATACCTTGGTGGGAATGTAGCGTTGAGGATGTACCGACCGAAGGCCTATGGGCCTGGCAGGCCGGGGCTCGGGCTCTGGTCCTCGCCGCTGTCGTAGCGTCCACCACAATGAGGATGATAGCCGTGGCGGGCTCCTTCTCTTGGGTCACTGTAGGTACGTCTGCGGGCATCGAGGGTGCTGCGCGCGTCGCAGTTATGGCTGAGACACTGATGTATCTAGGCCACAGCGCGCTACCTGCTGCCTTGAGGTGCCTGGTGGACTGATGCATCCCTGGTGAGGCGCACCGAGGGCATGCGCTGGTGGGTGTCGAGCTTGCGTCGCTAATACAACGAGCTCTCCGCCTGCTGCGCTGCCGCACGCTCAAGCAACGTGCGAATTTCATGGTGGACCCGATGATCCTCGGGTGTCATGGCCTCTAGAAGGCCATGGAGCAAGGCCGTTGTGGTGGCGATGTTCTGGCTTGCCCGAACGAAGTGAGGAAGGGTTTCACCATCGGCGATGATCCTTCAGTTCACATCACAGGCCACGGCGCGTGCGTGCCCACCATCTCCCGGCGTTTGATCTCCTGATCGACCTCCACGTACTCCCGAACAAGTTGTTGTCCGACTTCGTCTATTTCCCGCTTTCGGGCTCTCAGCTGCTCCACCCCTACATGAGGTGGGGTCACTGTTCCCTCTTCGGTTCCACCGCCGAGGTTGCCTATTGGGGTAGTCTCCTCCGCGGAGACAATTTCGACGTGTCCCTCGGGGGTTTCCGCCATGAAACATTCCCGGGAGGGGTGATGGCTCCCCCTGCTGGAGTTAGAGCCAGAGTCCGACCCCGAAACTTTCACGAGGAGGCTATGGAGGGATTCTATGACGCTTTCGATCATCCCCACGAACTCATTGTTCGTGGGGACGGGATCGTGCGCTGTGTCACAAGGTGGCTAACGGTCGCCGCGGCGTTGTAGAGACCGAACGGAAACGCTGTCAGGGCACTCCGTACGGAGTGTTCCGGAGAGAGGGTGAGGTGACACGGGTCCTCCCTGGACGGCTGGGGTCCGAGGGAGACGCCAGGCTGGCGCTCAAGCCTCCCATAGCCGAAGCCAATGGAGGGGAGAGACTGGATGGCGAGATGGGCCAACGCCAACTCTCCTCCCACCGTGACAATGAAGTCCAGGTCACCAAAACGCACATGTGCGCCCAGGACCCAGCTGATTGCGTGGTTAGCCATCTGAGGCCTAATTTGGAATGCGCAAAGGCCCCCACCTGGCGCGCCAACTGTCGGTGTTTCGAACAAACACCGGCTAGTGAATTTATAATTGTTGCGCGTTAGGCCCGGATGGTGCACTAAAGGACACAAGGTTTATACCAGTTCGGGCTGAATGTCCCTACATCCAGTCTACTGTTGCTCGTGTTATTAGTACCAAAAAAGGTTTGTAGTAGGGGGTACAAATGGTCGAGAGAGGGACTGGTCCCAAGTCTCTGATGAAAAGGTCGAAAGAACGCCAAGAGCTCGGTTGCTGCTTGACTGTGTGTTGTGGAATTGATCCATTGTCTTCTATCTGGAATTGATCTATCCCCTTAGTGGGGTGCCCTGCACTCCCTTTTATAGACCAAGGGGGGGACAGGGGTTACAGACGGGAGAAAGAGGAAAAAACCAAAGGTAGAGAAGGTCCTTCGAGGGAACCGGGTCTTCTTTTTCCCCTATGCCTGCCCTGCTAACATGGCAGATCATGTCAGGAATGGCGTGTTCATTGATCCTTATAGGGCCATGCCCTGGCCTCTTGCAGCAAGTGGGTGCGTCCCATCCTACACCGGCGGACGGTGCGGCATGCCAGAGAGCTGAGCCGTGACCCTTCGGAGAGTAGGCGGGGAAATGACCATACATCGGTCACTGTAGATGATGTGAGTTCTATCTTGGATCGTAGTGGTTGTTGTATACTTATGTTAGTATCCACGTTCGAGGGCTGATGGCGGCGCCTACAACACTGTGGGACAAAAGTCGGTGCCTACAACACTATTCAGGTTCTGTCAGGTCGGAAAGGGCCAAAAAGCGCCCGTCCCGTCGTATCCTGACAGTACCTTCCTGCAGGCATGTAGGGCATGGTCCTCGGTACTACGGTTGACTTGAATGTCTTGTCGTACCCTGTGCTCACCTTTATGAAGGAACAGGGTGTAATCGTTGGGCGAGGCGGAGCCTGCCCATGGCCGTCGGGCGAGGCAGAGCCAGCCCTCAAACGTCAGGCGAGGCGGAGCTAGCCCTCAGCCGTCGGGCGAGGCAGAGCCAGCTCTCAGACGTCAGGCGAGGTGGAGCCAGCCCTCAGACGTCGGCCCTCAGATGTCAGGTGAGGCGGAGCCAGCCCTCAGCCGTCGGGCGAGGCAGAGCCAGCCCTTAGACGTCGGGCGAGGCGGAGCCAGCCCTCAGTCGTTGGGCGAGGCGGAGTCTAGCCCTCGGGGGTCGGGCGAGGCGGAACCAATCTTCCGCCGTTCGGGCAAGAAGCGTAGTAGCGTTCTTGTCTGACCGGAAGCATCAACGTTCAATGGTTATTAATTCCACCTCATTGGGTACCCCGGTATTAGGTCTCCGACAATAATAGTCTTAGTGGCATAGTTAGCCACATTACCAGCAGTTCACAAATATAACTACGTAAGATAGTCTTAGTGGCATAATTAGTAGCCCACAACCACAATTACATTACATAGCCCAACCACCAAAAGTGAGTCTAATGGCATGCTAAGTAGTGCACAAGTCCAACACAAAAGTAGTTTTAGTGCAGATCTGAAATCTGGTAGCAGCCAACTCTCAACAGTAAATATCCATCATCAAACTCATCAGGGATGTTGTAGCCTCTATGTTTTCGCCGCCACCATTGGAGCCATTGGGATCATGCTCACAATCACTCACATCAGCATCATCATGTGGATCTTCATCTTCCTCTTCTTCATTGGTCGAACCTAAGTCTTCTTCAAGTTCAGCCAACCTTCAGTGTCCATTTCTTGCACGCTTGCTGCTAGCATTCCTTGGAAGATTGCGGCTTCACAGCGAGCTTGATGCACCAACAGCTTCATCCACAAGTTCCCATGTAAGGCCATTACCATTGTCACCATTGTCACACCCACGAACACCTTGAGGATGAACATAGGAGGAATCAACCCACTCATTGTCCCAATCAAACTCCTCAATGACCAAAGGGTCAAAACTTTTCCCTTTTTTCTCACGCCTTAACTGAAACCTGGTCTTCATCTTCCGGTTGTAGGAAACAAAGACAATGTCATTCAATCTCTTATGCAACAACCTATTTCTTTTCTTTGTATGCATCTACAAAAGAAGAATGGGAAAAATAAACGAAGGTGTAATTAATTGGCTAGCTGAACACAAATTAATTAGAAGAAAACAGTAACTAGTGAAGTTGGCAATACATCTTCCAGGCTTGCTCATGTTCCTCCCTCATAGAACTGGTCAAGTTCACATAATCCTTAAGCAATGGTTCATGAAACATATAGGGAGAAGGCCCACTGTATATCCTGAACCAAATTGTGCAATTGCCTCAACTGCAATCTCAAACTATCTTGCTGCTGCTGCATTAAATGGCACACCACACTCATAGAACCACAAGGCCCACTGCATATCCACACATTGCTTCTCCTCTTTGCTCTTTGTCTTGGCTGGAATTGTTGGCTGAGAACATCCTTTACGCCTTTCATCAAAAGTTCTTCAGGTGTTTTCTGAAGCATCTCAACAATTGACTTGTTACCCTTCGGCTTTGCCTTTGTATTGCTTGCTGCAGTAACCTTGAATAAATAATTTACACGCCTTTGTTTAGGTGCAGTCCCTGAACTTGGCTGCACCTTGGAAGCTTGGGATTCTGTAGGTGCGGTGTCTTCAACTTGAACAGATTCAGCTCCAACTGCTGGGGCTGCTATTGCTTCCACCACCACCACATCTGCTGGTTCCTCAGGCTGATCACCCTCTTCTATGAACAATGGCCTCCTCCTCTTATTGGATTCCAAGTAATCTATCATCTCCTTCCTAATAGCAGTAGTGGTCCGCGGACACATTTTTGCATCTCCATATCCACCTGCCAAATGTTGCTTCAACCTTTTTATCCCTCCACAAACCATAGTGTCACACAATGTTTTCAAGTCGTCTAGTCGAACCTAGTCTTCATGGGACCGACCAGACGACTAATCGCGATTACTCGTCGACCAGGCCGATTAGTCTAACATAGTGGATTGCTTCTCTTTCCTTTGGAACCAGAGAATAGCAGAGGGACAACAGTACAGCACAACAAGCAACCTAGCAGTCTAGCAGAGAGCCAGAGAGGCTGCAGAGTGAGGGATGGGGGAGGAGGGAAGAAGATGGAGAGAGGAAAGGCACATACCGTCGTTGGAGCAGCTCATCACGAAGACCGCAGCCACTTGACCTGGCAGAGGGCGTTGTTGGCTTCACAGCTCACCAGAGAGGAGAATAGCGTGCCAGGTTGGGGAAACTGAGCTGGGTAGCAAGGAAATAAAAGCAAGTGACTGCAGCACCCCATAAAGATATATGGAAGAATCTTAATTTGAAAGTGTTAATAGAGCTAGCTTCACCACATTGTATAATAAAATTCTCATATGTGCTCCATAGACCATGGTACTTCTATTACCATCACCGTTGGATTTGGAAAAGACCAGAATATCTGATAATCTTATTTTTTAGGATGGCAGTCTTTCAAATGACCGATTCTTGACTTTATGTTCTATACCAAAGGTATTACTAGATATCTCCATCATCTTATACTCCGTATCTTTTAAACCAGCATGGAGTACGGTTACATCAGCACCTTTACGGCCACTCATGTCGACCATGGGTGGCATTACCATGCATATCACACCGAGAATAGATGTAGATTCCTCCACTGTAATGGCACAGGTTTGCACTTTCAAGTGCCTCACACTAATTGAGATGGTATAAAGGGGATGCTTCAGCCCCTTGTTGTAATAGAACGGTCCAATTTATAAGAGCTCAGGTACAACGGCTAATGCTAAAGACATCAGCACATTCGCATTTCAATCCATATAAACCCGGTAGTTCGTCTAGTGTCACGACGGACCTTGATATATCCACTTTACAACCAAGATCGTACTCAATTAACCAACATCATATCACATACATAGAGTTTGTAATGGAATTAATTAATATTATAAATCAAGTGCTTGTAGTTGCTATTAGGGTCATCTTTTGTAATAACAACTCTGCTCTAGTGAATTATGAATTGTAGAAGAATTTTTTATAGGCTATTCACCCATTCTAGGCATCTGGATCCTTACAAGTATCAACTTCGATAACATGGGATAAGAATCAAAGCTATAGCACAAATGAGGATTTCTGCAATAGTGCTAGACTATCTCAGTAAGATGGGCTATCGAAGGTACTTCTATGGAAACCTATAAACTTTACTTAAATATACGCTAAATGCGTACTTAAAAGAGTGTGTTAAAAATGAATATTGCAAAGATCTTCAAACTAGAAAAAGATAAAAGCCATGAAACACTATCGCGGGTATCTTGCTGACAAGAGGAACTCTTCTTCAAGACTATACTGTCTACTTGACTCCTGCTTGCTTGTACCCTCAAGTAATGGATACATCACAGCCTTTTGTTTCTCATCACATATGTTTGTACCTGTACGTTGCACAACCCGTTGTACGGATGCTTGAATGCTTTCAAGGTTCATCTCCACCTGTCTCATGGTCGGTCGATCCTCTGCTTTCATTTTGACACATGATGCTGCTATTGCAGCTACTTCCCCCACTTGTTCACCTGCCTCTTCTATGATCTGAGGATCAAGTACATTGACCAAATTGCCTTCCGAGAGCAATGCTGTGAAATGGGCAACAAGACCATCATCCTTAGGTGATCTATACGAGTATGGCTTTTTCCTAGTCAGCAGCTCTATAAGAACAACGCCAAAGCTAAAAACATCACTCTTCTCGGTGAGTCTCCCAGTGTAGTAGTACATGGGATCTAAGTATCCAAATGTTCCTTGGATAGCAGTTGAAATCCCGGTGTTATCCGCCGGAATGCATCTTGAAGCTCCAAAATCAGACACTTTTGCTGTCATTGAACCATCTAAAAGAATATTATGGGACTTGATATCTCTGTGGATTATAGGGAATGACACAGCCATGTGAAGGTAGGCTAGTGCTCTAGCGGTTTCCGTTGCAATTCTCAGCCTAAACTCCCATGGTAGTGATGTTGGTCCTTCAACATGAAGATGATCATAAAGAGTGCCATTTGGAATGAATTCGTAAACCAATAGTGGCACTTGTGTCTCAAGGCAACATCCAAAGAGTTTTACCACATTTCGATGGTTGATTTGAGAGAGAATTGCTACCTCATTAATGAACTCATCAATCTCTCTTTGGATTGCCACTTTTGACTTTTTTATTGCGACGACATGCTGGTCGGATAGAATGCCCTTGTAGACAGTACCATGTCCACCTCCGCCAAGCTCGCGAGCCTTGTCGAAATTATTTGTTGCTTTTTCCAGCTCTATCAAGGGGATGATCATCTTCTCGGCGATATCAGCCTTTTGAGACACCAATTGTTGCAACAAATGTCCACGGTTCTGCTTGAAGAACTTCTGCTTCAGCATTCTTGCCCTGCGATGCTTAATCCTACGAGTCACAAAGGCAGCACCAAGTACCAGCACCAAAAGGCCTGCCCCGCTGCCAACTCCCAGACCAATACTTAGCCCTGATAATACAATAACAAACATTTTTTTTTCTGTCAGAGTCAGTGTCACATACTATTAGGCTTTGAATTATGACAGAAGAGAGGAACTTGTTCCGTGCAAGTACTTGTTGAAACAGAGGAAACGATCAAGGAGTATTATTGCAATACAAAAGCAGAGTAATGTGTCTGACTGAGTGGCTCTGCGCTCACCTAGAGAAGATTTGACGCAGCCATGTTCCTCGTACGGGTTACCACCAGCACCGCGTGGGCACCGGCACTCGTACGATCCGTCCGTGTTTGTACAAATACCGAAACAATTTCCCGGGAGTGCGCACTCATTGATATCTGATGAAGCAAACAAGCATACTGTATGTTACACAGTCTGTCTGTGTGCTAGTAGTGTACTACTGCACTGCACCCAAAACGGTGCCGTGCCCGTGCAACGTGACAACGTGCGTACCTTGGCATCCGCCTTCACCGGAAAGGTAGGGGTTGCCGTCGTAGCCTTTCTGGCAGCGGCACACGTAGCCAGTCCGGTAGTTGTTGGTGACGTTGTGGCAGGCGCTGTGGCTGCTGCGGCAGGCGCTCCTCGCCGCGTCCGAGGGGCAGGACGAGTTGCCGGCGGCATCCGCATCAGCCGTTCCCGGGACTATTGGGGTCGACGCCACCGCCCAGTCCAGTACCACTGGAACCGGCGTCAGGGACATGGAATCCCGCACCGAGTTGTTGAGCATTTGCGCGGCGACACTGTCAAACCAACCACGCTCGGCGATGCGAACTGCCACAGGTAGCAAGCCTGTGTTCTCAACGTCCAGGTACTTGAACTGGACGGCGTAGGACGGGCGGCCGATGGGGATGGGCGTCTCGCAGCAGCGGATACCGGAGCACGCGGCGGCGCCATCGCCAGGGGTGGTTACCACGGCGCCGGCCCACTTGTCGTCGATGGAGCAGAAGGAGGAGCAGCCGGTGATGACGTTGCCGCTGCCCCCGAGCAGCGTCCCCTGAACGTTGCACCCTGTGACAACCAACTGGTTGCGCCACTCTGAGACCACGTACGGGCTGCCACTGCCACTGACAGCGCCGAGGCCGCCGCTCCAGGTGCCGCTGCCGTCGACGGATGTGCTGAAGTTGATGTTCACGGCGCCCGCAGTGTACAGGGCCCGGACCGTGGAGTTGGCCAGAGAGATGTCCACGATCTGGAGGGCGCCGTCTCCGAGCAGCAGACGCGGCGGGTGGCGCGTTCCATCGCAGGTGAGGTTGAAGCCAGGGAGGGAGCAGCTGGCGCCGATGCCGAATGGATACGGCACGCTCAGGTTACCGCAGCTGGATGGGCAGGTCGGCGGCGGGCCTGCTGCATTTCCGGACGGAGCTGCTGAAGCCAAGGAGAGCTGCAGAACCAGCATCAGCGCCGCTGCCGGAACCATCACCGCGCCGCCTGCAGAACCAGAATGTCTTCTACGCTGTTTCCAGTAGTTGTGGCATGTCCATCCACCAGTCTATCCATTTTAAATAGTTCGAGATATATCGAAAAAGAATGTATGCCATTTGCCATCTGGTCAAGGAAACATCGAGTTCCACTTGCACCTGCTTTAGCATCAACTTCCACGTCAAACGTCAAGTGGCAGTACAGCTTTAGCATGCTGTAGGAAGGTGACCTGCACTGCCACTTGACTTGGAAGTTGACCGGATCCTTCCTACAGCATGCTTTCACTTTGACCTACCACTCGCATACGTGAATGGCTTGCCATAATCTTGAATCTGCGCACATGCTAAAGCTGCGTGTTCCACGATATTGCTTGCCATCGGTCTACTGTTTGCTTTTCTCACCGGCCAACGATCCATCAGTAGCGGTGGTTCTGTCTGCAAGGACGGGATTTCATTAAGAACGGCTACTACTGTGATTTTTTATTTGGTAATTCATACCAACTATTTGAATAAGTTTCAAACTTGAAACAAATATCCTAGAGGGTAAAACACATTTGGACAGGGTAAAGCAGGTAAATTTGGCTCCGAATCACAGTATAATAAGGATTAAAAGTCATCAATATTAAACATGATCACAGAGGACAAACTATTCTTAGGTAGCGTTTGGTTATGAGTCAAGTTGGGGTGGGACGTTTCTGTCTCTGGTTTCTAGGATGGGATGAGGACCGGACGACTACAATTTCTGTTTAGTTGAAGAGGGATGAAACCAACCCATTTTCTGTTTGGTACGAGGACATCAAAAGCGGGATCACCCACTGATAGGTGGGGTCCATTTGTCAGTTTTTTTCTTTTCTTCTTCCCCATAATTTTCGGCGCCTGTTCGGCATCGGAATTTCCGGCCCCTGCACTTAAGGGTGGGCAAAATACCCAATACACAATTCCCAAACCCGATTTATCCGAACCCAGACCCGAAGTACCCGAACCCGAAATACTCGATCACAATTTCGGATAGTGATTGTAAAAACCCGAAATTAGTTTGGGTAGCTCGTGTAATGTTTCCCGGTACCCGAACTACCCAAATTACCCGAAATATCTCAAATATTTGCTCTTCTATTCCTAATATAAAGACATGAAGTATTTCAATGCCATATAAATATATTATTTGGTATGAATTATTGTAGATTTATGCTAACTTGATAATTGATTTGTTGGTAATTGATATGAAGACATGATGTGATTTGTAGGACTATTGTTTATTGCTTTAAAATAGTACTTGAATTCTTCCAAAATGGTTGGTTTTGTCAATTTCGGGTAAAACCCGAACTCCAATTATTGGGTACCCAAAATTTCTGGTAATGCTTTTTCGGGGTAAAAATCAGGTAGCAATTTTTAATACCCGAATTACTCGACCCGAATTTTTCAGGTAACCCGAATGCCCAGCCTTACCTACGTTGTATCTTCTGTCCCGCGCCTCCTCCTTCCTCGATAGGGGGCTAGCGCTAGTGCCCCTGCTCACCCGCCCGTCCATGCTCGCGTCGGAGCCCGCCCGTGCTCGCTCGTGCTCCTACTCCTCCTCGCCGGAGCCCGCCCCTGCTCACTCGCCCACTCGGCGGATCCGGGGACGTTGCTCGCTGGAGCGCTTGCCCGGCCGAGCCCGGAGCTGGGGACCGCCTGCCCGGAGCTCCTACTCGCCCCCGGACGCCTGGAGGGCCACACCGCCCCTGTGCCCGCCCGCCGGAGCCTCCTCTCCTTCCTCCCTCGCCCGCGTCGTCCCACCTGGGGTGCCCCCGTCCCCTCGATTTGGAGGGACGGGAGTCACGCGAATATGCCCCGAATATTCCCTACTGGGACGTCTCGGTCCCTCCACGACTACAAACCAAACAGGCTGATACAGAGGTCTATCCCATCCCATCCCACCAAATTCCAGCAACCAAACACTAACTTATAGTATCCAACAATAGGAGCCACGTGCCCACATGCACTTATCATCCAATTCAACGAATTTATCACCTATGGATGACCTAGTCGGCTAGTCCTTACTCTACGAATGTATTATAAGGGTAGTTGATTTCTAGTAGGGTGGAAATGGAATCTTTGTTAGTGGGATATCTACTCTCTCTTTTTTGCCGGATACATATACAGATTCGAATGTTTGAATATGAATCTCCTATTATACAACTAAAAAACAAAACGTGAATAATTTTTCGTGCGACTTTGTTTTGGGGTCGCCCGTTTGCCTCCCCTTGCGACCCCGACGCCATCCGACGCAAGTTTCTGCGCCGCCAGGTGGGTCCGCGAACCACGTTGATCCCGCGATCGATCGCCCATTAGGAAAGATTGCCGCCGCACCCTCGATGCCTCGCCCAGTAGGAAAGATGCCGTGATCGCCCACGTTGATCCCGCGATCGCCATCCGTGGGCCGTGGCAGCCTCGGTCTCCTCCGTGCTCGTCGCTCCCCTTGCGATCGCGGCATCGCTCCCCTCCCCTCCGTGACTCCTCGCTTGGCCGTGCTCCGACCACCTTGAGGTAGCACGACACCTCCCCCCACGGGCCCATCTCACCCAGCGCCGCACGCAGCACGGAAGCAGGAAGCTCTCCGCGATCGGCATGCAGCGCTCTCCGCTTGGCCGTGCGCCGCACGCAGCACGCAGCCTGGCAGCAGGACACCACCACCGCACGCAGCGCCGCACGCAAACCTCGTCGGCAATCGGCTCCGTCGACGTCTTCAACTCCTACGCCGGTAAGCCTCCCAATTCTACTCCACGTACGGAAGTGGCCGGGCCAGAGAAGAGTTCCCATCTGATCTTCACGCATCGAAGCCTGCATCGCCGGCGAGGACGGCTTGGCAATCAAGCATCGCCGCCCACGCCGACATCACCGAGGAGCTCTTGTCCAGCTGTCCCTGCCGTCCTTCCCCGACATCTGACCTGGAGCCCCCGTCGCCGGCGAGGACAGCTTGGAGATCAGGCATCGCCTCCCATCACGCTCGCTAGCTGCCCATTCCAGGTGCTGTTCAATCGCCCTTCTGTTCATAACGCGACAATTGAAGTTTGTTTTCCCTCCTGCCTACTGTTCATGGTCCGGCAATTGCAATATCTGGCACCAGCGATTGACTGAATGACTGAATTGGGTGTAGTGTAAGATTCAGTCAGCAAAACACACAGAGGCGAGGTCAACTGCAACTTGCAGCTGGTCGAGTTGGATTGCTTTACAAATTGTTGTTGGTAGAAATGCAGGCTGCTCGTATCTAAAATTCTTTAAGATGGAATATATAGCATCTTGTTTCTGTGAAATGTCAAAAAGAGAAATATATAATCTAGCAGTGCATTTGGTTTGACTATAGCTCTGAACAAGAAGGTACCAGCCGGCAGTAGTAGTATGACTGCATTTATAAACACCTTTCCTTCAGGGCGATTAGCAACTGGAAGCCATTATCGACCTTTTTTTTTTGGCAATAATGAGGTTTATTTAACAGTGTGTTTCCCCTCTCCACTGCATGCAACCTGTTACGTATAATGCCAGATCGGAGTAGCTGACTTGCTGGACAGTATAGAACTAGGATATTCAGAGTTCACCTATTCTGAATTGCTGCTACCAACTGATGGTGCCAGTTTTTTCCCCCCATTTATCCATAAAGAACACACTGTTAGAGTTAGCATTAGATCTACTTCACAGCCATTCTCAAACTGAATACCTAAAAGACGGAACATTTGTCAGCTTCTACGCATTTGTCAGCTTGTAAAAAACGCCTACTTCAGTCATTCTAAAACTGAATACCTGAAATAGTTTCCATGCCACAAGTTGCTGCATAGTTTACATGCCACAAGTTGCATGAGCAGCAGGGTGAAAGATCGTATTCATATCTTTTTTCTTGAGAAAACACCAGACGAGAACAATGCATGTACATGTACATGTTCATGAACAAAACAGATCTGTACCTGAAATATTATTTCTACAAACTATAAGCTAGCCTTCACATGTACATGTTTTTCAGGATATAACCTCCATCACCAGCACGTAGAGCTGTTGTCAGATAGTGAATAGGACTGAATAGAAGATTGGTTCGTACAATTTTTCTGTAGGTAGCACTAAATGTACAATTTTTTTAGTTGCCATTTGATTTATGGTACAGTCTCTGAATTCAGGCATAGCCTCTGAATTTGATTGTAATTAGCTTATGTGCAGTATTGAGCAATAAAGGAAAACGAATTTGCTGGGGATGGATGCCGAGTTTTTTACGATGTGTGCTGGTTGTCTGTTCTCTGGTTTTGACAGGGCTTGGATGCGGACTTGTGTTCTTTTGGTGGTTTTCTTGAGGTGTTGAATTGATAAGCTATTATTAAGTTTACTGATAGGCCAGCTGAAAAGAATTGTAGCTGCTTTTGACCAATTTATTTTGGGATCTAACTTTATTTTTTTTCTTAATAATTTCTGAAACTGACTGAAGCTAAGTGCTAATGAATCGTTTTATAATCAATTGCTTAGCTGAGGAAAACGATAATTTACTTAAAGAACAACTAAAAAGAACTAGGCATTCGTGATTTTAGTGATCCTTTCAAACCATCATATACAGGTGTATGCTAAATACACAACTGTCAGTGTCGCTATGTACTCCAATGGTTCACTCAGGATGTTTCTGAAAGCCTATCAGTAACCTGTGTGGCTGCATGTGTTTTTGTGTGAAGTCAAGCCATATTTCATTTTGTCAATATTGTATACTTTATCTCAATAACTGAAGTCAAACCGTGCTGCAGCTCATTCGAATTGGACACCAACAGTAAGGAGCTACAACATCGACAGAATCCAAAGGTGATCTCTGGTTTCAAATTCACATATATCTTATCCCTGAATTTAATTACTTTTTGAGAAACAAATTGATTTGGAAATGTTGGCTTCACGCCAAGTGCCTGAGAAAAATGCCTTGACAGAATTTGGAAATGTTGGCTTCACACCAAGTGCTTGAGAAAATGCGATGATGGAGCATATGAATTTAATTTGA